AGGACGAGAAGATTTATAGGCTGAAAAGTTCGACTCTTCTTTCGAGGCACCTCATTTTATCATTTTGTTGTCTTTCAATACCGTTAAGCCAAAGTAACCCTTTCCTTCTTTGTGACTAACAACTGGGTTAGTCGAGAAGTAGTTGGATAGGTCGAGCCACTTGTTTATCTCATTCTTTTCACATTGTTTATCTATTCCTTTTCTTGCTGAAGTCCTATATAGTTTATTAAAAGAAGTACCAGTTCAAATCTAGGGTTGCTTCATTCAGTCGGTCCATTCTTGTATGTTAGAGACTTAAAAGTAACTTTATTGAAAAATAAGAGCTAAATTAATGTTTTTCTCACTGTCAACGAATGCAAATTATTTTACTAAGGTTGAATAATTCAAGTTAGAATAGTGAGTAGACCTAGGCAAAAAAATCGACCAAACCAATCAAATCGAATCGACTCGAGTCAGTTCGGATCGATTTGACACAAATAATTGGTTTGGTTTGATTTTCTTTTAAACAAAATCATTGTATGTCGGTTTAGTCATAGTTTGAAATCTCAAACTGTTGGTTAACCAACCAACATAGCCCACTTACATGTTTAACTTTTTTTAAAAAAAAATAAAAATAAAAATCAAAAGATAAGCCCTAATCTAATAACTATATCTTGATTCCCTCCAGTAAGTAATAGCACCGAGAATTTACTTTCACAAGTTCATTATGTTATACTCAGTATTTTTTTCACACTCAAACAGTCAAACTACATAATACATAAAAAAGCAAAAAAACTTTTAAGTTTTCTATTGACCTGTCTCGATTAATTTGATTTTATTTGTTAGTCAGTTCTTGAATATAAAATTATTTGGTTATTTTAGTTTTTATAATCTAAGAGAGCCCAAAACTCGGACAATTTACTCCCTTTGATTGATGGTGGATGGTGACGGATTTTTTGGGCGGTTCGATCAATTTATGACCCTTTGATGTAAGATCAAAAATCAATCTTGTACTGATTAGTGTTGGTGGGAACTATTTGTTACATTTAGTCATTGGAGTCATTTTGTTGTTCGTTAGTTCGATTCATTGAAATATTTATACGATAATAATTACTAGAAAATTTGATGACGTGGATGAGTGTAATTATCAAATAGGCATAATATCTCGAGTTCAAGAACTCACAACACTTTTTAGAGCTTTACGTCACCTTTTATATAAAGAATGATAATTGTCCATACTTGTTAAACTTGTAACTGAGGCTAATTCGTGAATGCTAAGATCGTAATCGTCGAGTAGTTTTGCTATATAAAACGTAATAAATCAATGTGAATTGTTTGAATTTCAACAAATATGTAGTTTTTCATTCAAATTTACACCATATTTTGCTTGAGAAAAGGGTGAAAGAGGATCTAGCCAATTTTACCTTATAAACTGTCCAATAAAAGCCCAAATTCAGTTATCTTGGGCTAAAATGTCCACAGGGAAACCCATGTAATTGCTGGATTCAGACCAAATTGGCCCAAGTAATTGTAGATTTGGCCCAATTATGTCGTCTATTGTATATTTGATGAAGCCAACTACCCTGTTTGCTAGGATTAAAATCAAAGTCAATAATTAATCCTAACTGCATATTTCATGGTCCGCAACTTTTCAACTATACATTTTATCAACTTTTATTAAAATTTACTAAAATTTTTATTTCAATCCCCATCAAACAAAGGCTAAGAATGAAAATTATAATTTAACAAACATACAAAAGTATATTCTAATTCGAGGTAAAACAAAGTCAACCTTGTTTACACTTGATTCACAGAAATACAATCAAGTAATGAAATACCTCGATATTTCACAATTTAAATGGGATTTATAAATTATGATACCCAACTTGAACATTTGAATACATCAAATACGATTGGAGTTGTCATTTTTCCACAAACTGGGTTGAATCAAATTAAAAATTGTTATTCCTACTTGCTGGCACACTGGAATTTGAATTTTTCTAAAAATAAAAAAATAAAATTGCTGCAGTTAATTTCTATTTTCACCTATTTTAGTTTTGAACTTATAATTTTGTTTCGATGCAAAAACCATCTTTTTATAGTCTAAATTTAACATCTACCACTAAATTAATTTACATGAATTCAAAATAATAAGTACCTTTTTTTTCTTGAAAAAAGAAATTTGGGTAATTTATGCTCAATTCCCTATTAAACTAACTAAATTGAATAATACCCTTTTAAACTAATTAAATCATTTAATACGTAATTAATGCGTCCTAAAAGTCCCCAAACCCCACAAAAATGTAATTCAACATCCCCAATTACAAAAGACAAATCATCATTTTCCACGAGGCTTCTCCTATTTCGAATTTGTTGTTGTAACATGCTTTGCAAATTCGGTAGCTACAACCATATTCGTTGATGGGGTCTCAGAAACTGATTGTTGTTCCGCAGTTGAATAATTAATCGGAACTGGAGTGCTCATCTTCTTTTCCTTGTGCGCATCCTTGCCCTCATCTTTGTTAAATACACCAAGTACTTCATTCCTCATCCTCGTTTAGTTAGATGGGCATAACCATTTAATTTTGTGAAATAAGTAAGATCCTATAGCAATCAATCCTACTGGTAGGGAGTGCTGATGTCTGTTATCTTCGAAGATGAGAATTGGAGAAATTATAATCTTCTTTATCTTTAACTTACTTATTGGAGGTTTTGTATAACTTGGGTTTGTCTCACAGGGCCGGCTCTGAAAATTTTGAGGTCCTAAGCGGTTATTTATTATGAGGTTCCAATTCATCTAACTAATTCTCCTAGTTGCTTAGGGCCCAATCCACCCGGCAAAGTGCAAACCAACTCCCCAACCCAACGCCTTTTCACTCTACTCAACATGTAGACAACATATGGTGCTTCCACGAATCTATTCCCATTCTCCATGAACAACCAATTCAGCCCATCAAATGCTCTTTTGCATCCGACTTTCACCTTTTCCAGTTATTAAAATTTAAGCAAAAAAAATTCTTGTGAAGAAATAATTAATCAACCTTTTAACTCCATTTTTCTTTTAGAAGATTCAAATTCAAATTTTCTAGTGGACATAATTATAAGCAAAGAACAATAGAACCTGACTAATGAATTCAAGATCCCCAAATATCGCCAAGAGAAGGAATTCAACAATCAACCTCCAAGGAATAACCAAAAATGGGAAAAAGAGATAAGTGATGGAGCTAATGAGTTACTTAAGGTTTAGGCAAAACATGTGATGCAAGTCTTTTCAAAATAGTATTAGTATACAACCACTGGTGGTAATTCAAAAAAAAAAAAAAAAATTCTATAAAATTCTTGTATTGGAAAATTCCTCACCACCAGAAATAAATAAAAATGAAAACACAAAACGAAGCAAATAAAATTTGAAAATTTCACAAATAAAATTGTAAGACTTGAGTAGTTTAGGAAATCATCTAATAAATCTTTCATGAATTGGGTGTGTCTTGAAAATGAAATTCCAGATTAAAAGATTAGAGACATTTCAACAAACAATTGACGAGCATCAGCACGAATGAAACTCGAGGCAAAAAATGAAGAAACTCAATATTCCAAACCTAAGCTAAAAACACCAAGTTGATTGTGCATAGGCGCATAACAATTAACATTACACTATCAAATGGTGCATTTGTAGAGAAGTGAGGAAAGGGGATCCTAGGAGTTCAAACAACCAAACCAACAATCAACAAACAAGATTCAAGGCAAAAACAAGAAAAATAAACCGGAAGAATACTCCCCTTCTTTGGCCGAAAATCTGTCCAGCTTTTCTGCTTCGTTTCAGCAGCTCCTTCTTCGATTTATGGGTGTTTTTTCAGGCTCAGGAACAGCCCCATGTTATGCCAATTGCCTTCCAAAGAGAGAGGGGAAAAACCAATGAAGAACCACCACCCTTTTATGAAAAACGAGAGCTCCTACTGCTGGGTGTTCAAGAGACTGAGAGCTGCCCCCTTTTTATTTGAAAAATGGTAGAGTGTACATAATGAAGGGGTAGGAAGAAAGACCATGCCTCTGCCAAAAGAAGGGAAGACCTTATTGTGTCAACCTCACTCCCATCAACTCACAACATTAGGTGGTGGGGTTAGGTGAACCATATCTTCACAGTTTGAAATGACGCCATTTTAAGATTCCTAGTGGAAAATTCTTGTGTAAAACGAATGTATCATTGTTCGAGGAAAAGTGGCTATATATTTCCTTTTCTTGATGTAAGTCTTTATTGGTTTTGAGTATTGATTTAGTGGGAATTGATAGAAATGGCAATCCGAAACTTCCATTTTCCTGCATAGACTTAATAGTATTAGCGGCTACTGAAAATATATGTTTAGTGTTTTAACAACATTCAATAACAGAACAACACTTTTAGTATCAAGAAATAAAATTGGAAAACCTCATAGAGGAGGGGCAAAAAAAAAGAGAAAAAAAGGCAAAAAAAAAGGATTTCTCACTGTACATTGCTGTCCTTACATTACTTGATACCGTTATTCAAGAACAAGAACAATTTGAGAAGAATGGAAAATAGGAGGAGAAATGGGAGCAAGATTGCAAATTTATTCAATATTCAAGTGTAATTCATTACAATCAAGGATCCTCATTTTGTAGGTTCTAAATTATATCGGAAAAAAAAATTTAACTGATAAGGAAAATTAAGAATTACTTTTATAAAGGAGACAAATTCATTATCCCACCAAAACAATAAAACGCAATATGGAAAACTCTATTCTTAATTGATTTGATTTCATTTACAACTAGAATAGACTTTCCATTTTGCATCATTACTATTTTATTTGCTCTCCATTTCCATCTTTAGCATCTTTTGTTCTTAGAAAACATCGTTTTTTTAATCTTGTCAAGTCTAGCCACAACTTCCCTCATACAGATTCTTTCCATAAGAGAGTCGATCAAACATTCCATTGCCAATGCTAGGATGGTTAAGACACATTGCATTTTTGCAGTGAAATTATTGTCTTACTTCTAAGCAAATTGGTATCCACAACTTCAGTTATCTTATCTTCACTTAAAGATTGGCTAACCTAGATTTTCAAGCTCATTTGTTCACCAAACATTTCATCTCTCGGCTTCTTCCTCGTGTACATCTCCAACAGCATTATACCAAAGCTGTAGACATCGCCACTAGTGGTTACTATTCCTTCAGTTCCATATTCTACAATGGCATTAAACATTTATGAGATCAATAGATAGAAAACTAAGCTGAGAATCAGTCGAAAAATTCCCAAGTTTATTTGAAGAAAAATAAATTCAGAACATTCAGAATCTCAATAGGGAACATCACCTGGTGCCATATATCCAATTGTTGCCAAGGTCTTCATTTGAGCCATTGACTCCCCTTGACCAAAGAGTTTGGCCATACCAAAATCAGAAACGTGACCAACCATAACTTCGTCAAGCAGTACATTGCTAGGCTTTAAATCACAATGAAGGACGGTGAATGTCAGACCGTGATGAAGATATTCTAAAGCCAGTGCAACATCAATTGCTATATTTAATCTTTTTAGCATGTCCAAGAAATAGTTGTGGGAATATAACCATTTTTCCAGGCTCCCATTAGGCATGAACTCCAGTATCAAGGCTTTGAACTCTGTGTTGCTGCAACTTCCAATGATTTTGATTAAATTCCTATGGCGAATGGTGCTCAATACCTCACTTTCCATATCAAAACTCTTGCTTATTCGTTCTGAATGCAAATTAAATACTTTCACTGCAACATTCAATCCATCAGAAAGTGTTCCTTTATAAACTGAACTGAAACTTCCACTTCCAAGAATGTTGGTTTCATTGAAGGCATTTGTTGATTGTCGAAGTTCCTGATAAGAAATCCTTCTCCATGAAATACCTAATGAATTTTCGCTCTTCGGTACTTGTCTGTATGATTTTCGTCTTATCATCAAAATTGTTATGCTCATTGCAAGAATAACTGCTATGATTGGGGGGAGAATATATTTCATTAATGCGACCACAATCTTTGACTTTGATCTTTCAGGTGTTTTACCACAATGTGGAAATTGATGTCGAGTTTCACTGCAGAGAGCATAGTTCTGCACAAATGATTGAGCAGTAAAATTTGCAAAACAACCCCCATCAGGAATCTCTCCCTCTAGTCTGTTGTGAGACACATCAAAATGTTGTAAATAGTTGAGTGCCTCTAATGACTTCGGAATCAATCCAGAAAAATTATTATAGGAGAGATCCAAGGATTCCAAGGCTTTTATGTTTCCTAGAAACGCAGGGATAGCTCCTTGAAATTTATTATGTGCAAAAGATAGTGAAACCAATGATTGCATGCTGTCAATAGAGCTTGGGATATCACCTGAGAATTGATTTTGCGACAAGTCCAGTATGTAGACGACCTTCAAATTTTTTATTTCCGTAGGTAGGGAGCCTCTTAAACTGTTCGAGGACAAGTTTAGTTCCAGGAGATCGTTAAGGCTCCACAAGTTTAAAGGCACAGTAGACTCCAATCTGTTGGAGTCTAAGTAGAGATGTCTGAAAGATTTAAGTTCGCCCAAGCATGATGGGATTGACCCATAGACCGTATTGTTACTTAGGTACAAGTCACCCAAATTACTTAAATTGCAAAGCTCAGCTGGGATGTATCCATCAAGCCTATTGTGTTCAAGATATATACGTTCAAGATTTCTTACTTTCCCTAGTGATCTTGGGATGAATCCCGTCAACTGGTTGTTATCTAAATATAATCCTTCCAAGCTGCTCAAGTTTCCAATCTCATCAGGAATAGCCCCCTTAATGTGAGATCCAAATGCTTTGAATGCATGAAGAGAACTGGAGAAATTCCCAATTGATGCTGGGAGAATACCGTTTAGCTGATTCAAAGATACTTCAAATATCTTCAAATATCGGCAATTTGTTAATGAAGAGAAAAATCTCAACTGCGGGCTCGAAGATTCTCCTGTCAAATTATTTTCTCCAATAAGAAGGTACTGTAGAAGTCTTAGATTACCAAAGTCGGGAATGGTGCCAGTCAAAGAGTTGGTGCTCATTGATAAGATTGTAAGCTTAGAAGCATTGTTGATAGAACTTGGAATTACTCCAGTGAATCTGTTGTCACCCAGATAAAGCTCTTCGAGATTCGGAAGTGAAAGCCCAATGGTTGAAGCAAGATGGCCTGAAAACTGATTGGTTGAAAGTTCCATCATCTTAATAGTTGATATATTGAACATCGAAATCGGGATGGTGCCAAACAAGCTGTTGTTGTGGACATTAAACTTCTGAAGGTTAAGCTTGCCAAGCTCATCCGGTAAGTCTCCTGGAACAATATAAATTACTTAATCCATCAGTTTTCGATGTCAAGTTTTTCTTTGATGGACGAGAATTCTTCTAAAATTTGAAATATTGAAATGGAAGAATGAAAACTTTCATTGAAACCAAATGAGTTACACACCGTGAGTATAAATACAATGATTACCAACTAACTAACTATCTAACCATGCAACTATCTAACCATGCAACTAATGCAGTGATTACACGTGGCTAACTATCACTAACTAACTAACTTCCTAACTAATTTGTTTACAGCTGGATAAACGGTGCTGAGGTGCTGAGCTGGGAAATTTCTTCTGTTAGTCCCCTTCAAGATGGACAGTGGGGATTGATGATGGACATCTTGGACATTAGCGGGAATAGGAGATTAGCAGGAAGAGGCTTCGTAAAGACATCTGCTAGCTGATTTTGAGTTCGCACCGGCAACAATTTGACGAATCCATCATTGATTCTATCACGAACGAAGTGACAATCTATTTCTATGTGTTTGGTTCGTTCATGGAAAATGGGATTGCTTGCAATGTGGATGGCAGCTTGATTATCACAGAAAATGAGAGCTGGAGCAGAGGAAGAAATATGAAAATCTCGAAGCAACTGAGAGATCCAAATGAGTTCACTGGTAGTGGAGGCCAAGGCACGATATTCAGCTTCAGCTGAAGACCTTGATATTGTGGTTTGTTTCTTAGCCTTCCAAGATACTAAAGAGTCACCAAGGAATACGCAATAGCCCGTCACAGATTTCCTGGTGTCCAGACATGCACCCCAGTCAGCATCAGAGAAAGCACGAATCTGAAGTGAAGAGTTAGCTGAAAATAAAAGTCCTTGTCCTGGAGATGCCTTGAGATATTGCAAGAGGTGATGAGCAGCTTCAAGATGAGGCTTTCTAGGCTGAGCAACGAACTGACTAAGTTTATGAACTGCAAAGGTAATATCCGGTCTTGATATAGTCAAGTACAGAAGTCTGCCAATCAATCTTCTAAAGCTGGAAGCATCAGGAAGAAGGTCCCCTTCAAATGAGCAAAGTTTGATTTTGGGATCCATGGGCAGTGTGGCTGGCTTGCAAGCCAAAAAACCTGTGTCCTCCAACAATTGTAATGTATAGTGACGTTGGGAGAGGAAGATGCCTTTGTGTGAGCAGGCAATCTCCAAACCCAGAAAGTACTTTAAATGTCCAAGATCTTTGAGTTTGAAAAGACTATGTAATAGGGCTTTTAAAGAATTTATAGCCATAGTATTTGATCCTGTAATGATTATGTCGTCGACATAGACTAGAAGAGCAACAAATGTATTTCCAGATCCCTTTGTGAACAATGAATAATCCGACTTTGATTGGATGTAACCATGGGAAATAAGAGCATTAGAGAATTTTGCAAACCATTGTCTTGACGCCTGCTTTAAGCCGTAGATGGATTTATTTAATCGACATACCAGCTTCTTTCCCGCCGGAGAACCATCTTTGCAATGTGTGTTATAACCCAAAGGCAGATCCATAAAGATTTCTTCGAAAAGATCACCATTTAGAAATGCGTTATTAACATCTAATTGGGTAATCTGCCATTTATTTATAGCAGCAATGGCAAGAAAGATCTTTACAGTTACAAGCTTAGCCACCGGAGAAAATGTATCAATAAAATCCAAGCCTTCCTGTTGGGTGTATCCCTTGGCCACCAAACGTGCCTTATACCTGTCAACACTTCCATCAGGTTTGTGCTTGATTTTGTATACCCACTTGCAGCCTATGGAATGCTTGTCTTTGGGCAAGGGAATTACAGACCATGTATTGTTAAGTTCCATCGCTTCTAGCTCATCTTTCATTGCCTTTTTCCAATGATCAAAG